CTCTCTCTCGCTCACACACACACACACACACACACACACACACACACACACACACACACACACACACACACACACACACACACACCTCGCTAGCTTTCTTCACTATTCATCATTGACTTTTTGGCCTTTTCATCTATCCGTCTCTCCCCTTTTCGAACTTTTCCGTCCCAACGGACTGACTCATATCACCGCAGAGCCAAAAGCACAAGAGTGAGTGGCCATGGAGTCGTCCTCTTTGGTTTTCTGCTCTCGGAGCCCCGAAGAAAGCGGTCACGGCGCCGCAAGGGCGCCGGCGCGAGCAACGGGCCCGGATCAATTGCGCATTTGGAGCCACCGATTCAAAGCGTTGCAACTTTCGCCGGTTCGGGCCGTCTTGCCGATCACGCAGGTCGACTTTCCGCCCGATGAAGCCGCATCTGACCTCTTGACCTCGGCGCTTCCATTTTGCGAGTCATTCAAAGCGATCCCACTTCACGTCGTTTTCCCCACGGCGGGCTTCTGGATTCACGAGCGCACCTCCGCACGCTTCCCGCCGCGACGCCGAGGCTGTTGCGCCCGTTTGGAGCCACTCGACCGGGCCGCTTTTTCCACGTCCGACAACACCAAGTCGCGCAAAACCGCGCGACTTGGTCCGCGTTTGCAAACGGGCACGGGCGGCGCGAAGCCACAAAAGGCTTTCGGTCACCGCACGGGACTTGGTTTCTCGACGGGCTCGCCGCCGTGCGCCGCTTGGAGCGGGGACCTTCAATTCCGCCTTGCCGTGAAAGCGGCGAAGGCGGCGTCTTGAACGAGCGCCCTCTTGTTGAATGTTTTGATGATCCCGCACGAGGCCGCGCGAACCTGACTTGCCCGGCACCGAGCAAGCGCTCTCTTGAAGACGGCGGGACGCGCGTCCGCAATCCGTAACGGCTTCATTTTCTCTTCCCTTTGGAGGAGCGCCCCGAAGGATCCCCGAAGCCCCGTGAGTTTCCGTTTGCCGGCGTCTCATCGGTCGCCGGCGTTTGCGGAAACGCCATCATCGGGCCCGGCGGCCGAGTCGCTAAGGAGCTTACAGGCGTCGGTTCTGGCAGATGAGGCTTTTCTCCTCTAATCCGGCAGATTAGCGCCCGCCCTCCCGCACCGGCTCGCCGCCCGAGGGTGTTTTGCGGCGCCTGCCGCGCGGTTTCTTCGCATTGATCGTTTTGGGTCTCGTCTTTGCCGGGGAAGCGGAGCCGTCGCGGAAGAGAGAGCGGAGGTCAAATTGCGCGCTCCGTCCTCGCGGGAAGTACGCAGCCCCCGACGGTTCGTCGCGCGTGGGTTTTGGGCACGCCGCGCCCGCCGGATCGAACGAAGCATCGCTTGCATTTTGGCTCCTATTCCGGCGCGGCGCCGTCGAAGCCTTTTTGGGCGGTCGGAGGCCTCGGAGGCGCAGCGAGCGGCGGGCCGCTCAACTCGTTGTGGAGACCGGGCGGGGGTCGGGGGACGGCGGCCGCCGCTTTCTGAAGGGCGAATGGAGCCGCGGCCCGGCCGCGAGGAGGGGCCGGCGCAGGCGGCGGCCCCCGAGGGAAGGGAGGAGCGGCCGAGTCGCACCGAGGAGGATGGCGGCGAGAGCCCCGGAGGAGAGCGCGCCCGGGACGACTCTGAGAGCCCCCGAGTCCGAGGGGGGGAAGGGGCGGAGACGCCCAAGAAGACGGTGCGCTTCCGAGAACCGTCCGGAGAGGAGCCGGAGCCGCTGCCGGAGCCGAGCCTTTTTCCCCAACACGCCCCGGAGGAGTGGACCGGCGTCTCCTTCGAGGAGCTCTTCCACCAAGAAGACTGGCAGCGGCTCACAGGTAGGACGGAGCCCGCATCGGCGTCTCCGGCGCTTCTCCGCAAGCGGGGCGGCGTCCTCTCGCGGTCTCTCCCGATCCCGACGACGCGCCGACGAGGGCGCGCCGAGCGCGGGTCCGTCACCGGACCGCGAGCTTCGCGCTCCCGTCCCTTTCCTCCGCAAGCGGCGGACGACGTCCGGGACGCCGGCGATGCGCTTGCGGGGACGCGCCGGTCTGCCGCTCGCCACCTTCCGACGACGCGCCGGTCCGCCGAGGTTTGCCGGTTGATTTGGGAGAGCTCTCATCGCTAAGACGACGTCCCGTCATGTCCCGTCCCACACGCAGACGACCGACTGCTGGGCAAGAAGGTGCTGGAGCCGGCCGCCCCCGGCGCCCCTCGGCCCGTCCGGGGCCAGCAGGCCGCCGTGAAGATGCAGGCCGTCCTGGAGGACCGCACCGTCGTGGAGAAGGACCGCGAGCTGCTCTTTACCATCGGCGAAGGAGACGTGAGCCAGGTAAAGACTCGCCGCCGTCCAAAAGCCGAACCTCGACGTCGGACAACTTCCCGAGTTGAGGAATTGGTGTTTTGCGTGCCTTTCGTCAGCACCTTGGTCCGCGTGGCCTTCGCGCCATGATGAAAGACTGCTTTGTCGAAAGACGACGACGTGCTTTTGCACCCATTTGCTCCGGGCGAGCGACGGCGAAAGGGCTCGGCGCTCCAACAAAAGCCTCTTCTTTTTCACTCCTTTGCTTTGCAAAGCAAGCAAAGGAAGGATGGCAGGAAAAACACGTCACGTCACATGAAGAGCTAGCTAGCTAGCTAGCGTTGACTTTTGTGCGCTCAAAACAACGTGCGCTCCTCGTTTTGCCGACATGGCGAAATGAGGAACGCGACATGAACTGAAAAATAAATAGCAAGACATCCCGTGCTTGCAAAGCAAACGAGGACATGACTCCCGTCGACGCTCACGTTTGTTCGGCCGTCAAATTGAGAACGGCGGAGTGCAAATCTCTCCAAAAGTCGGCCTGCCGGGAAAGGAAAGTGACTGCAAAGGTTTGCGCTTCGTGGCGCTCCCCGCTTGGCGTTTTCCAGGAAAAGTGGCCTCTCCCTTGCGACGATCCAGGCCGGGCTTTCACTCGCAACGTTTGCCCGCAGACGACGGCGTCGCTGGCGGCGACCTTATCGGAGCCACTCCGCCGGTCAGGGCGGCGTGAGCGTTGGCCCCAGGCGCCACTCCCACGAGTACGAGCGCATTTCATTCTTTGCGTCGTCTTTCATGCGCGCAATTGCAAAACGCGGGTTATGTTCCTCGCCCGCGACCCTCGTGAGGATGAGCAAAGGGCCGCTCGGACGGACGCCGCCTTTCTCGTGAGAAAAACACCCGACGGACGATTTGCCCGTTTCTTGCGGCGGCCGCAACGGATCGGCGGCGTTCCCGCTCACGGCCGTGAGAGCGGACGCTTTGCCGCACCGGGCAAATTGCACTCTTGTCACGAGGCGTCGGCGAGCGCGAGCGCCCGAGCTGCCGTCGGCGCCGCGCTCATATCCCGTCTGTGTCCGCGCAGGCGCTGGAGGAGTGCGTCGTGTCCATGCGCAGGGGCGAGATCGCGTTACTGCTGGCCGATTCCCGGTACGCCTACGGGCCGGCGGGCAGGTAAGGCTGCGGACGGGAAGCGCGCGTCGGGACGGCGCGACGCCGTCCGTCTTTTCTCTTCACGGGCGGCGTTCGACCCGTCGCCGTGGGCGTGGCATCGGGGCGGGGG